TATTAATATAAGTTTATCTTTACTTTAAACTAGACTTATTTTTTATTAATTATATTAAGTACTATTACTTATTATCTTAATTATTATTATTTAATAAATATAATATAAAAAAAATAATAGCTTTAAATAAAATATAATTTTAACTTATATTAAGTTTATTTAACTATTTTAAGTTATAACTTAGTTTTATATTAATATTAATAACTTTATTATTAAAAAAGTTATTAACTAAGTCTAGTTTAATAATAATATTATCTTAGGTATTATTACCTTTATATTTACTTTTATATTTACTTTTATACTTACTTTTACTTTTATATTTATACTTATTATAGCCTAGGTCTTAGACTTATTTATATATAATTACTTTTTACTTTTTATAATTTAAACTAAGATCTATATTACTAATACCTTACTTTAGTACCTAATTAATATTAGTTAGTATTTAGCCTTTACTAGGCCCTTAGCCTTAGTTAAAGGAGAAAGAGATAATAAAAATAATAAAATAGATTTAAAGACTTTAGATTAAGCTTATAACTATTAAAGACCTAGGCCTAGAAAGTACTAGGCTATATTAGGTCTATTTTTAGACTTATTTTCTTATATAGTAATAATAAAGCTAAGCTAGGCTTATAATAATTATAAAATTACCTTAGATTATTATTAAGTCTATAAAAACCTAATATTAATTAAATATTTATATCTTTCTTTTTTATTTTATATTATCTTTATTTTATTTTAGTCTAAATATTCTCTAATTATTATATACTTTAGTTATTTTGTATTATATATCTATTTTATTATCTTTTTACTTTATATTAACTAATTTAAGGCTAATAAAACTTTATATTTATCTTATAATAAAAATACTTTAAAAATATATTAATATCTTCTTAAATCATATTATAATAATATATAATAAATATCTTCTAAGTTATCTTTATATTAATATATTTTTAAATTAAACTTAAAAACTTATCTCTTATATAAGAAAGTATTAAACTCTAGTTTACCTATATATAATTAAATAATAATTAAACTAATATATTAAAAAAAATAAAAATAAAGTTATTTTAGTTATATATTAAAACTATAATAGTTTATAAATTAAAAAAAGTATAAGATATTTTATTTATTATTCGTTTTTTATTTCCTTATATTTTTATTTAGTTTATTATATTTTATTTATTTATTATTTTAATATATATTAATTTTCTTTTAAACC